TGGGAGCGCCCGTGCGCGTCCCTTCCTTTCTCCTCTAACCGCTGTCTTTAATTTTTTTTAATTAAAATTATTTATAAAACCTTTCCTCTCGTTTTTCGGCTTTGTTTCTTTCTGCGCGTAGGGGTGTGTGTGTGTCTATGTCCGTGTAGCTGCTCACTCACTTTGCTCTCTGTTCCAGTCACCCCAGTTCCGTGTAACGCAGCCGGGCTCTGGCTCTGTAGGGTTTTGGTTCTCAGGTCGCTGTAGTGCCCGCAGTGCTAACGTGCTGGCGCTGGGAAGCTGTGGTGGGAGCCTGTGCATGTTTGTGGACGTACTTGTGTAATTTTGTTAAAGCCTCCTTTTAACAGAAACTAAAAGGCTACTATTTATTTGCTTTTTCCCACCCATTCACAAACACAGAAATGCCATAACTCTTTAAATACCCTTCCCCTTAAGAATCCCTTCCTCAGTCTTTCCCACTTCCAGCTGCAGTAACTCTCCTAATTTTCCCAGAAGAGTGAGATGCATTTTTGCTTCCCTTGGAAATGCATAAATGAGCTCTCTATGTACAAATCACAGCTGAGTTCCCCCCAGCTAGCGCATTACAGAAGGACCTTATCTTGCAATCTACATTTCCCGCTGCAACAAAGCGTGACCTTGTTTTCCTTACATAAAAAAATGTTTTTCATATAATTGCTGGGACTTGTTCTCTCGCGTGAATCTCGACTCATGTTCATAATTGCTGCTTCAATTTTCAGAGAACTATTTTTTTGTGAGCTGGTGGAAGAGCCCCAACAGAGTGCTCTTTAGGAGAGTTGCATATAAGTAACACAGCCGAGGGCATAACAAGGGTTCCGTTGTGCTCTCCCATTGCAGAGCCAAGAAAACCTAGTGTGGCATTTTTAGATATTGAATTTAAAGGAACTTGGTAACGTCTGTGTGGATCCTTGCTGATATTTAGGTGGAGGTTCCTTATTTTAAACGCTTCTCTTTATTGTGTTGTTTTCCAAGGGATGCCAGGCACCAGTAAGCTTCCAGAAAGTAACTTGGGAAGAAAATTTTTCTAAAGTAATCTGCATTTAAGTTGGGAAAACATTTTGTCACAGTTATATGCCCTTTGAAAATGGGTTGGTCATTTTTCTCCCTCAGTTGTGTGGGTTTTTTAAGAGTTTCCGAATGGTTGAAACTTTGGCCATTCTGTTCAGTTCACTATCTGCTTCCATGTCCCGTATCTTAAAGCAGCACAACTGTTGATTATCCATCTCCCTACTTGCATTATAAAGTTTTATAATCTTCTAAGACTGAATTTGGCTCGCCAGCATCACAAAAACTGATCTGTGTTTGAGAAGCTCAAGATTTTCACCATTGTCCTTCTTCCAGGAAAGGGATATAGGTGAGGAGCTTGCTGAGGCGTGTGAGTTGCAGTTACAAAAATCAGTAACTTTTTTCTAAGCCTAAAGAGATTAGGTAACTCGACCCAATTTAAATAATGTTTTTTTCAGGGGTGAGGACCAGCTCCTGGGCTTGCCAGCCTCTGTGCATCTTGCTCATGCTTGATCTTGTGTGCTCACAGAGGCCATCACTATCTACCCGGGGGTAGGGGCCCAGTGCATTCTGAGCATCAGGAGAGGAATACTGGCCAGGTTGCTAAGGGGAGGAAGATTCTGTACTTGCTGATTTTTACTTTCACCTGCCATCGTTGCTGCTGGCTCTGCTTGCTTCTCCCAGCGAAGTCCCTCCTGAGAGGGAACACATTGTGCTAAGTAGATAAGAAAGGGTTGCCAGGACTCGAGGACCGCTGGCTTGTCGGGTAGCCTCGTGTGGGTCATCCCTGCTCAGGAGGGGGATCCAGGGGGACGTTTGTTCCAGAAGGATGCAGTGATTCTTCACGTTCTGTGGGGCGTGTTGACACGTGTGGCTCCTGGTGTGGGGGGCAGCGGCGCCGGGCGCAGCAGGGTGGCTGTGGTGGCCTGGGGGTGGGCCGGAGGCTGCAGGGCAGGTCAGAGTGTGGTGGGACAGGAGATGTTTTCCCACTCCCTTGGGACTCTGCCTGGCACCCAGAGTGTGGTGGGACAGGAGATGTTTTCCCACTCCCTTGGGACTCTGCCTGGCACGGCAGGGTCCTGCCCGCAGCGCAGCCTCCTGTGTGTGTCGGCGCCGGGAGACGGCAGCGTCCCCCGCGGGCTGGTGGCCTGCAAGAGGGGGAGAAAGACAAAGAGGATCCTGTGCTAAATATAGTCTGTGTCATTTGTTTTCTCTGTTGTGACATCTATGTAAATCGCCTCTTTTGTGCTGTCCTCCTTTTGACAATAAAGCAAAATCTCAGTGGTTCATTGTTTTTATTTCAGAGGTGGTGCGGAACTCATGTTCGATGGTGTCAAAAAGCATCAGGTGACTCTGCCCTGCCAGCCGGAGCCTTGTGAGTATCAGAACCTGTTGGATAACTTGAAAGAAGGACAACAAATGAAACAAAGCTGCTTTGTGCAGCGGTTTCATTAGTTGGCAACAAGTATCCATGTATTTTAAAAGCACTTTCAGACATGCTGTGGATCATAGCTTGGTGATGGTTGGTCCTCAGAGTAAATACCAAGCAGAAACAGTCAGAGCATCTTTATTCTCCTCTAAGCACTTGTGAATTGAGTCCTTCCTTAAGATGTTTGCCTCCCTTCTATATAGGCAACGGACTCTGAATGTTTCCATCAAGTCTACATTTCTCTTCTTTGATACTTGAAACCACCAGTAGCCTCCTCATTCCGTTGTTTTTTATTGCCTGTTCTGAGGTTTCCATAAGGCATCTATATGTGTGTGTGCGTGTGTGTATGTAGTGTATAGATACGTGGGTGAGTGTATAGCCATGTAACATAAATGTATTTTATCCACTGAATTGATTCTTAAGTATATGTAATGGTTTTATATTGACTATGCAGTTGAAAATGCAGCAGAGATGATGCTGGAGCATCATGCTGAACATCCTGCCTAGAGCCTTCCCTACAATAAAAAATAAGATGCTGTTAAGCTAAAGCCTTGAGTGTCCCAGCAATAAACAGTCATAGTCTCTGGTTTGTGATTTGGAATATCAATACTGAGAAGTGCTGAACTAACTCTCTTGTTTCTCCTTATGTGTGTGCATACTTCAGTTGCAACGTCATTTTGCCACAGGTATGTCTTGAATTCTTCCAGCTAGATAGAGAGTGGGATTATAAACTGAAAAAAAAGCATCAGGGAATGTTAACAACTAATATCTCATGAATGGCTAATACTGTAATCTATGTGCTGTGAATGTCCCAGCCTGAAATCTTCTTACCATGCCTGGAAGTAATTAGAGATTGGTGGAAGTGCTTTTGATGCTTGGACATAAGTATGTGGAATTCAGATATAACAGGAGCCCTGGAATAGTGGCTGTTATCCTGTGGTTCAGGACAGGGGCTGGGGACCCAGAATCATGACCTGGTGCTGATTTGCTTTGTGAGTTGAAGTCGTGTTGCTTAACTTTCCCCTGTTGGTAGTGAAGCAGTAGTGATACTTTCATGTATCTCAAGAGAGTTCAGCATTAAATTCCAGCACTGTTAAAGCACTTAAGATCCTTAAATGGAAGATGGTAAAGAAACGCCAGAACACCCATTTAGTTGTTTTATAAACTTGGAGGCTAGAGCATCATTTTCTTCAGTGTTTTCTAAATTTAAAATACCCACTGATATCCACCACATTCAAAGCATGATCAGATGCTCAGGAAGAAGGGATTGTTACACAAGATGTTTATTTCTGCCAGGGGAAAAGGGGCTTTAATATCAAAGAATGATTCTCCTGGCCCAATGGTTGTCAGCGGTGCAGTTGTATGTGCCCTAATCCATTCCCACTTCTGTTCCTGGGAAGGCTTCTGTAGACTACACTAGGAACTGGATTTATCCTAAGGGATAAATCTTTCCCTGAGATCTGGCTCAGTCTCAGGGTTCAAACTCACAATCTCCAGTGATTCATTCCAGATACATCTGAGACATTTCTGCTCCCAGCTTTTCGTGCTCTCTTGGTTTTCAGATGCTGCTGTCCCCATGAGAAGCATGGCAGAATGGACAGTGCACCATCTTGCCTGCTCCTCTGCTTTGCAGCCTGCTGTTTTCATGTGCCTTGGGTGACAGGGAGGTCTCAGTTTTTGGGCTGGTTGTGGATGGCAGCAGCTGAGGAGCAGACGCTGAATTGTGAGGCTTCTGCTGTAAGGACGTTTGCACCCACCACAGGGATAAGGTGGGGAGACGTGGGGTTAACATCTGAGAGTAGGGGATCACTGGAGACAGCCCTTGCAGTGTTTCCAGGTAAGAATTATGTTGTAGTGCTGAAGGAATCAGTAGAATCATATCAGAAACATGTGACTAAGAAGTTTGGTAAATTCTTGCAATTTTATATTATTCCTAATGCCTTCTATTTTCCTCATTCACATTAAGAATGTTTAATTCACCCATCTCTGGTTGAATAAAGACAGACATAGCGTGTTCCCTGCTCCCCTTGTGCAGCCAGAATTATGATGATCAGAGAAATAAAGCAGCACAGTTCTACTCAGTGTGTCCTGTTGCACCTTACCCCATATGTCCATCACTTCATACTCTGGGGAAAGATCTGTAGCATGAACACTGCTTGAAGACCTGCACTTCTAACCCCGATTTAACTGATTTCATTAGCCGTCAAGCTTATTTTGGGCCATTTAGGCCTCTCTTTCCCACTCTTCCTTTCTTTCTAGGTTATTTTTGTCTTTGTCCTCCTTTTTGTGGAGCAGCTGCTTCTCTCTGGGACATCGGACCCAGCTATAGTCTAATTGTTTAGGCAGTTTTATACATGTCCCAGAGGTGAGGTGGAGAGTTATATGAAGAAATACCTACACATATTTACATGACTCAAACAAGCTGTGCTGGGTAGTTGACAAGGGCAGTGTTCTCCAAATGATAACAGTGGTGTTCCAACAAATTCTTGTGGGGTCCTTTCCTTTTTTCCTGGTAACAGGCACTAGGTGGAAAGTAGGTGGGCTCCAGGTCCAGTTAACTTTTTCAAGAAGATTTGGTGCACTGTCCTTTTCTGATGTCTGGAGGTGGGCTCCTGGAGGAATTAGGAAAAGCAGGAGGAAGGAAGCTGCAAATGGGACAAGAGCAAGCCACAAGGGGTATTTTTATGATCCAAGGGGCTTTTTGTATCCTAATGTCAGTAAAGCAGCAGTTCCTTGTTGCTGAAGCAGAGCTGTCTTAGCCTGCACGTTGAAGGTGTTGCCAAGCAGGAACTTAAAAAGGTGTGATGTATCTGCACAGGCTGACAGATTTACATGAGCCACGCTTCGTGCAGGGCTATGTAATCTTTCAGAGGAAAGAAGACCTCACGTTAAACAGGAATCTTGTCCCAAATTGCTGGCTATTTTGATGATCTCACTGATAATGCTGTTAGAAGATCTAAAGGCATTAATGCCCTGTTGGCTTATTCTGCATAAAAACTGTGTGTGGGAGAAAGCAGCTGGGGGAATAACGATATTTGTCACATGGAGAGAGGATTAAATTGGCAGGGAAATCAACTTTATTTTCAAGCATCTAAGAGGCTATTAGAGACAATGGAGCATAAAAGAGAAGAAACCCTAAATTAAAAACTGAAAATGTATTTGGCAGCCTCCTCCTGAAACAAGCCACAGTAATTTAACCAAGTGCTTCAGTAATCAAATAGATCATTGTGTGACTGCTCTGCAAGTGATGCCGGAGCTCCTTCCTCCATCTCGCTGGGACTCACAGTGGTGGGTTTGTCTGTGGCCGTGCGGGGTGCGTGGACGCTGTGGGAAGGGTGGGAAGTCACTGGCTTTGTTTAACCCTTGTAGTCATTTCAGGGTTAGCTCAGCAGCTTCACGCTGGTGAGGCGTGTTTACAAAACCTCTCTGCTGTGCTGTCTGCTGGATGTTGCATCTGGAGGTTGGGGCTGTTTGTGAAGTCTCTGGTAGTGGTGCTGCAGGCTGCTCAGCAGCAGGTCCAGGCCTTTTAATTCCAGCTCCTCCTGTGGTTTTGGTGATGGGACTTGTGTTTTTGGAGCAGCAGAGACCAGTTTCAGCAGCGCTCGCCTGGACCTTCAGGGGTAATCAAGAATTCGCTGTGTGTTTTGGCAATTACAAGTTTAGAAGGATAAATTTTTAATTGATGTGTTTTGGTAAATGTCTGTGGTTTCCCTTTACCAAAGCCCCGGGGAAAAAACCTGTTACTGATCAGATTTTTTTTAGAGGGAAAATTAAAATAATCTGCCAAGTGCTGCTTATGTTAAATCTCCTTAGAGAAGAGCATGGTCTGCTCCTCAAGAGCTTTGCTTTCCAGGGGCCTTGTTCTGCACAGCATGGAGGACTGCTGGGATGCTGGGAGCAGTCATCATCTCAGATCTCGAGAGATCAGAGCTGTGTTACAGGCAGAGTGGCTTAAAAAGTACAGCACGGGCTGTGTTGGGAGCTGTGCCAAAACTACCTGTGAAATCAAGAGTGGCAGCTGGCATCAGTTGTCTGGAGATGCCCAGTGCTACTGCTGGGTGATATGTCATAGTTTTGGTTATCATAGTATATGGATATTTTGGAGTGCTTTCATTACTCTGTTTATTATTCCTAACATTTTAAAACTTGCTCCAAAGAAAGAATAAAAATATATTGGGTGATGCAGAGGCTTATTAGAAGAATGATTAAAAAACGACCCAAACATGGCTCTGTGGAACTTCGTGCAGTCAAATCTTTCCAACCACAGCACGTGGCGCTTGCAGATCCCGAAGGACTGGGGTTGTTCCCCTGCCTGTGCATCTCTGCGAGGCAGGAGATTGTGGAGTGGCTGGCCAGGGAAGGAGGGGACAGGGTGGGACCTCGGGGTGGTCTGGCTCAGCCCTGCAGCCCGGCAGTGCCCGCGGGGTGGCAGCCCCGGGGCTCAGCACCCCACTGCTGCCCCCCTGCGGGTCCCCCTCCCAGCGGGGCCACTTGTCACCTCTGCTCTGGGGACGAGGCCCCCCGAGGGGACAGGAGCCCCGGAGCCGCTTTACCGCATCGGCTCCTCGTGGAAGGAGCTTCCCGGGCACCGAGGAACCCGCTGTGGTGCGTGACCAAATCCCGGGCTAACAAAGCCTGGCTGTCCCAGCCCCCTTCCCAGCCGCTGTATTGCAGTGAGGACACCTCGCAGGAGCGCCCTTCTGCGGCAGC